AGAGCAAAACCACAGCAAAACAACCGGGAACAAAAAATCACAACAAAATCTGATTTCCAGAACAAAAATCAATCTAGCCGACTGGTTTCCAGACTGGCTTCGGAACCAATCTGGCCGATGCGAAAAGGCGTGAGGAAGGTGTGAGAAGACCGCAGAGAACTTGAAAAATGACTTTCTAAAAAAAAAAAAATCATTTTCTTAAAAATAGGAGGCATTTTCCCTTGATCAAGACATGATTTTTCATTGACTCTAAAGTTTTCTTTTTTGCCAAACATTGAAAACCCGAAAAATAATTTCCAAAAATCATTTTCCAGATTTTTAGACACACCCTAAACCCTAAATGGACTTTGTTTTAATCTTCCCTTCAAATCCATAACTTCAACCAAAGATTCTCTCGGTGGCCCATCATTAATGGGTTGCAAGTTATTGAGTCTATTTGTGTAGTGTGGTGTACCATAACTCCAATATGTTATATTTTGTAAAATTGTATATAACACTTTGTTAGATGTACATATGAGAGACTACAACTTTACAAAGTGAGAGTATATGATACAATTTATCATCATTTCAATATAAAGTGAGACTTAAATTTGAAATGTTCTTTTACCTATAGAATAAGAAGTACAAATTTTGATGTAAATAGTATTTGTAACACACAAATTGGATGGATAAAAGTCTCTTAGGTAGCTTATTAATTACTCATCAAGCCAAAATCTTTTTTCACAACATATTGTATGAAAACACAACAGTAAATAGACCCATTTACAGCAGTAAAATGGATCATTAGAACATTGATTAGAAAAAAAAAAAAAAAAAAAAAAAACTTTTTACTATTAGGACATGTTACCACATACCCTCATTACTTTCTTCTCTTTGCTATTTCCACAAGCATAGTCAAAAGAGCTTCACACATTTCACTAGCACCAGGCTCAAGAGGATCCTTTCTCCAGCAAGAGTACACCATCCAAGCATGGTCAAGTTTCTTGTCCGGTTTCACCACCACCGAGCCCGGCACTTCGGCGTCGCGACACGTCACTACGCCGTCGCTCTTCTCCCCGTATCGCAGTTGCAGATGGAGGGCGCAGAGTGCGAGGGCGGCCGAGACGGGTAAGATGACGGGCACCTTGAATCCCGATTGGAGAAGAAGCGCAGCGATCGGGATCCAGGGAAGCTCTGCCTGTGCTATGTGTGACATGGTGGCTATAACCCCGGGTGTCACCCTCGCCTCGGAGTGGAAGGAAACGAGAGGAATGTCGCTGGGGAGCGTATGGTTTTTTACAAACTCCTTTTGCTTCTCGTATGTTAGGTCATCCAACGCCTGCATATCGCCCTATCGAGTATTTCTATCTCAAACACTTTGCTCAATTATACCAAACATTAAAAAAAAAACTCGAAAACTACTAATAAGACCAGCATCCATTACCTTGAATATCTTGCAAACGATAAACTCCATGATCCTCCGGGTTTCCTTGTCAGCAATCTGGCCTTCGCGAAGAATATCCGATGCAACCGGCGATCCACCATACGGGCTCTGCACGAACGCCAATCCCGCAACTTTATCCTTCAAGTCATGCCAATAAATCGACAAAGCAGCAGCAGCATCAATCCCTCCTTTGCTGTGACCGAGCAACATTACACACTTGCCCGATCCCCAGTATAATTCCTCGATATACTCCTTTAGTTCCCAAGCATTCTTTTCCACAGACGCCTTCATTCACGCCCAAAAGTTAAAATTCACAAAAACAACTTTTCCTATAGGGGGATTCAACTCTATTTTTGAAGCATTCTTTGTACCTCGCTCTGGATCTTAGCGATATGACAAGCGAGGCCCATCTTCGAGAAGACCTTTTTGGTAGTCACGAAATACAACGGACCGACATTACTGAAAAGGCCTGAAAAGTAATATGTAAAACATAGATATGTGTACGCAAAATAGAAAATTAGAACAAACTTGTATTATAAGGAGAGTAATTAAACCTGGGATTAAAAGATAAACAAAACAATCAGGCAGCATATGATTCCCATTCCTGATGAACAAACGTAAATAAATAAGAGGCGATGCATATCATACTCATATATCATTAACCTCGATAAACATAGTCTATGTGTACCTAATGTCTTGTAGTAGCTCCGAGAATCGTGCAGAACCATCCTCCACGGGAGCCAGTCCGGGATCTCGTAGCATCCATCCAATATCACCAGAAGATCCATGCAAGGTTGTAGATACCCGTGATATAAAGCTGCAAATAAAACGAAGTATAGATCTTCTTAAAAATCGGAAGCAATCACTGTTAGAAAGGAAAAAACCGAATGTGCAAATGATTCTACTTAAGTATGTACCGTTGCACTCGAGCATGAGCACATCTGGCATAACAAAAGGAGCTGTTCCAAGGGGCGGACATTAATCTCCAACCGAATTTAAGACCGGATACCGGAAGTGTCACCCTACAACAACATTAACCAACAAAAGACTAAATAAGGACCGCAATGACACGAGATTGGTACTTCCATATGAATAAACATCATTACCCTTTAAAAACGAGGTTGACACTCCTACGAGTGACATTGTGTTTTACGATTCGTGATAGTGAATATAAAGGCAAATTATCACCGATCTCGCAGGGGTCAACGCCAAGCCTGGTCGTTGGGTGGCAAACTTCCAACGAAGATGAGCAACATCGAGAACTCAATTCATATCTCGTATATTGCCCAGATCCAATGGCCACCGACTCCTGTGAGCATCTACTCACATCTCTAAAGACGAGAAGATCCTCTGCAATAACATTAAGTTCCAAAAGACGGGAAAATCAACAAGTACAACGCAATCAATGGAATCGAAGTCTGTGTACCCCTAATCTAATCCCTTAAATTTTTTGCCCACAATCTACCACCCAGGAACTAACTGAGTTGCCCGTTCGGGCTCTAATCCCTTAAATTGCTTAGACAACTCACCAATAAACTGGAAAAATTGTTGTGCTATATAAGATGTCAAGTTCACTAGTAGTGAAATTATGTCCTCCATTGTTTCACAGCAAGAACGCCTTCAATGAGATGAGGCCTGGAAAACCAAACTACACAATGGAAAGCCTTCGTAAACGAGAAGAAAACTTTACAACAATGGCTTTCAGCATCTTCGTATACATATATGCAGACATTTGTAATTTGTAATCAACATAAAATTCAAGAACAAGACCCTAATCTAAACTGTCTGAAAAAGACAGATTCGAAATTATAACCAGAACTGGACAATCAGTACAGATGCAATGGATGTAAAGCTACTAACTTCAACAATTAATGGATTCAATTAGTCCATATGAGGAGCATAAACATGGCTTGATTTCAAATTATTCAACAAAAGCAAATTCATAAAACCTTAATCAAGATAAGACAAAACCAAAAGAGTTCAAATGCAATCATCACAGGATACAACAAATTATGCTACTAAAGATCCAAACATCAGAGAATGATTGACTTACATGGAATTGTGGTTCCAGAAGAATAGAGACAGCTAAATCTGCAAAAACATTATGATCACATTTGAATAAAAAGAAAAAAAAAAAAAGTTAACATTAAGATGATCTATATGAGAACAAAGCAACAGAAAGTTATGTTTATCCACTGTCCTCATCAGTGGCCCCCCATATTGATGTGTCTTTTCAGTTTTCAGTTTTCAGATCAAAGATCCATTTTCAGAATAAATAATTTCAACCCCATCTCTAATCCTCTCCAAAGTTTCAAACTTTGTTAAATCCCTCCAAATTTGCAAACACTATTACCCGTAAAAACTGAAAATCCGAGGTCATTTGTCGTTGTTGTCGTCGTTGTCAAAAGTATTAAACGGATAAGAAACGGAAATCTTGAAAGCCCAGAGGCAGGGTGGAATGCGGTGAGTGTGAATCTGTGTCCGGATAATTTGGGATGGTCTGAGGATCTAAGAACACACGTGTCGGAGAGGCGTGAGCGGATAAGACATTCAGCGACAACAGAAAGTGGAAAGTGGGCCCATTGAATCTTCGATTTCTTTAAAAGGAAAGGACTCGTGGCAAGATGGGAACATGCTTACTGAGTCTGAACTCTGGAAGTGTGTTGGAATTCCAGGGCTTGCAGATCAGATCAAATTTGTTTTGTGTTTTTATGATATGATCCGTAAATAAATGTGGGATAGTATTTAATTTTGGAGAAGCATATTAATTTTGTTGGTACATTAAGTTTCTTAATTTATGATAAATTAATCTTAAATGCCCAGAATTCCTATCCAAGAACACTAAAGGAAGTAAATCACGAGTCGTTCAATCAATTCTTAATTTTCACCCTGTCTGTACACTTTGTGCACAAGAAGTCTCCCCGACCTTGTTGCTGGAGCAAGATTTTCAAGATAAACCTTGAACCATTGAGTTAAGTTCCGCGAGAAGTGGCCTATTGACATTCTTGAGAGTGACCTATTAACCCTGTAATTATAAAGTTCTAAGTTCGACTCCTAGTGAAAAAGACATATTGACTTTCTTGGTTTGAACCCGGTTAGCTATAAGCAATCTAGATTGGTTTACCTCCTTGTGGTCTTTTTGTCTAAATAGCTTAGTTGTTAGCTAATTGGGTTAATGGATTTGATTACTTGATAGCATTAACTGATTGTAGAAAGATGTTCGGTAAATTAGCTGTTATGATTACATACAAAATGACTTTCTCATAAAGCTTATGGAAAAAGCTACTTTGAACAGTTTTTTGAATTTTAGCATTTTAGAGCAATAAATTGTTACAAAAAGCTAATTAATCAAACACTTATATTGAATGTTTAACCAAGTCAAACAGCTAATAGTGGTCAAATAAGCCAAAATTGACTGATAAACTATGTTACCAAACAGGTCAATAGTAATTTACAGCATAAACCTGCAAAAAAAATTTACATTAAGCAAACAACACACTGCAGATTGCAGAAAAGAGATGTTTTTCCATATAAAGCTTCCTGGCAGTTAATGGTATTGGTGCCATTTTCTTCTTCATCACCTTGCTTTTACTTGGAAGACTCTATTGTACCAAATTGAATGAAGGGTCATGTGGAAAAGATCATATTTTTGAGGCTTCACATGCCAAAGAAAATGCTGCTGAACCTTTCTCACAGCAACTTGCATCTGGAGATACTTCTCTTCTGGTACAGAGAGGAGTATATCTTTCAGGTTCGGTATGTCCTTCTCTGCAACAACTATGGAGAATGCATCCCAGTTCAGGACATCAAAAAACGGCGGCACAAAGTTGTCGGATACGATGACTGGCACGCATTCGTAGTAGATGGCTTCGACGACCCTCGGGCTGTTCACTTCATAGCCCTTCGGGCAGATGCAGAACTTGCTGCTCTTCATGTGTTGAATGTAGCTCATTTTGCTGGCAACACCGGGTGGCATTGGGCCGAAGATCTTCATATCGGGGTCCCTGTCCTTCCAATGCTCGAGCAGGATGGGTCGTAAGTACCCGTGCATGTTTCCAGCGTAGAAAGCGAGAATACGCCTCTGCGATGCCGGTTTCCCACCGAGATCTCTCAGAGGATTCCGCTGGGAGCGAATGTATGTTTCGGGCAGGGACACATCCCTTCCTATTTTGAACCCTGCAGTAACGTCGGCATTGCAGAGAGCCTTGATGCAATGCTCCATGTGGTGTCGCGTTTCGTAAGGAGCCTACGAGGATCGAAAGACAAATAAGAATTCAAAAGAAACTATCCGGCTCTGTTACAATGTAGTATCTGTTCATAACTACTTTCTCAATCTACTGAAGCAGCACGAAGAGTCAATACTGGCCCCTTCGTGCCAGTGTGCCACTAGACCACAAGGTCATTGGCGACTATCAGGGAATTTAGAAACAAGAAACTATAGAAAATGTTACCCAGTCATGGCATGCTACGAGAAAATGATCAGCCCCGCCAGTTCTGTTCCAGAAGCGGTATTTAGCAGCAATCCTTTCCGAGTAATCCTTCAGATACTGTCGGAGATTGGTCCGATCGTGGGAGTTACGTACATACAAAGTATACTCCAGCATCCGTGAACTAAAAGGCATGTAAAACAAGTGAGCCTTTCGAGGATCTTTCACAACATATTTCCTATTCCTCTCCATCAATTTCATGAACCACCCCTCAGATGCATACAGTCCTTTTAGGATTGGTTGGTGAAAGATGGGTTTCGCACCTTCCTTGTAGACGTATATCTTGAGTATGCTCTCCATAAGCTCATAGCTCCTGTTAATTACGTAAAGCACCTGAACATCTATAATAACGGAAGTTCCTCTACCCCGATTTCGTCTAATATTATAAGGCATGAAACTAGCAAAAGACATAACCCTATTACTCGGAAGATAACAAGGCAAACATCCACTAGTCTTTTTTTTTTGTCAGACCACGAGGTGTCCTGAGCAGACCCTAACTGTAGGAGGCACCTTTAAGCCCGTACCATACTCGGACTAATCCCCGTCCGCACTGGGCTGGCCCAATTAAGGGGCAAAGTGCCGGCCAGATCATACGAGAGGGGAGCATTCTAGTCTTTGCATACAATAAAAGTCCCTTATAGAACTCGATTATACACAAACAAAAAGCAGCTAAGCTAACCTTTTGAACATGGATATATTTCGGAAGACGGGAGCATAAAGTTCTTGATCAGTCTTCAGAAGGGGAGCATTCTCGATCTGCAACTTAGCTGCTAGAATGTCCTTATCACGTTCAGATGACCACCTCGGTCTCTAAAATCCAACTTCGAGAAAAAATAAATCAACATATTTTACCTTTAGTAAAGGAAAGGCAATACTATATTACAAGAGAAAGGCATACCGCTGCACGTGAACGAGCACGATTTCGGACTAGTAAGCGTTCCATTTGAGAGAAAGACGTTACCGACTTTGGTGGCATTTCACATCTCATCTTCTTCCTAGCCCGATTCCTTGTTGTAGTAGACACGTTAGGTTGCAACAAAACAATGTTCCCACTGTTGGGAAGCGAAAGATTTTGTTCTCCAGATTTAGACAAGTTACGAGGAGAAATACCCAAGTTGCTCAAGCTTGATCTCGAAGAAACCAATGGATCCCTACGGGTTGAACCAACAACGGGTAACGAGGCATCGACTCCAACTCGCTGACTCCCGTCAGGCATCATACCTCTATTAGCATCTGACGTAGAGACCGTTGATAATTCATTACTATTCTCGATGGTTTCATCCTCACTTGGTCTTACAGAACCATGTTCTTGGTTTATACCACTCTGCACCTTCAACTCCTCGTCTGCCTCCATTTCCTCAAACAGATTTTCATTATCCAGGGTTGCATCTTCAACAAAATCAAAATCATTATCTAGCGATTTTTCATTCAAAATAGAACTACTCTTCTCCCCGTCATCAACAATTTGTCCTGCAACCCGTGTCTTAACTCTATATGTGTTTTCCACACCAGTAGGCAACAGAGACAAGTTAGCAAAGCTTGAACCATCAACCGTAACAGGTTCATCTGACTTCAACGAAGATTCTTTAAACGAGAAGCTAACTTTCTGGTGTATAATTTCGGTGTTATCAGGCAACAGAGAGAGAAGGGCATTGCCATAAGGAAGCATCAAGGTCTGACAAAATAAATGAGTAAGTGCCACTAAACACAACACCAAAATCCATTTCCTTCTATCAATTTGGCACAACTTCTGAAAATCAATTGTGTACATCATACCAAAAGAGCTATCACCCAAAATTCAAAATGATTGGTTTCTCAATGCAAATTAAGAATCCAATTCATTGTCCCTGCATAAAAATTTGAACTGTTATAACTTCAGTTTTCAAGCACCAGATAAAATCATTAATTTCATAAAACACAAAACCACACCCAGATTCATAGTCTACCAAAATGCAGGTCTCAATTACACAGTACCAAAAAAATTTGAGAACTTTAGAGTCCAATTCAAGCTCCAGGGACCAAACTAAGAACTGGGTATCTCTAAACTAGCATTCTGGAAAAGATTGGTTTATAAAACCCATCTCCAAAATTTTAAAAAATGCTACTACCTACTAACCAATTATAAGTGAGCTCTAACCACACAGAACAAATTAAAGATACACAGAGCAACTGAAGTATCTTTTACCCATTAGAGATTAAATTAGAAAAGCACAAACTTCAGTAATTATCCAACCCATTAATCAAAGCATGCAAGAAATCAAATTTTGCTTAATTTAGAGAGAGATATATGGAGATAGAGGTGTTACCGTGAAGAGCATGAAGTTGGGATTTAAGATTGGAGAAGTAAACATGCATCAGAGGATTCGGAGCAACTGATTTTGCTTGTGCAGTTGAACGGCCGGCGAGCTACGGCTAAAGCACACATGTTCTTTCGCATCTTTTGAAGAAACGACAGCGATTATTGGATTATTAAATTAAAGGGTGTTTTTTGTCTTTTCACTAAAAGACAAACACTACGTATATGCTTCACAAAATATTTTATCCAAATATTTTTATTTTAATAATTTTATATTTAGTACTGTATTTGATAACAATTTTTTGGTATCAAGAGATTACACTTTATATTAATTGAATTTGCAAAATATCCAAATCAAATCAAACTTTTTATTTCCAAATTAATCAAACAAATTTTTTTTTCAATTAAACAATTAACTAAAATATTTTAGTAATATAAACAATTCGGTTAACTGATATGTTAATTCGATCAGTTAATCAATCAATTAATCAGTTCAATCAGTTAATCGATTTCATCAAATTATGCATAGCACTACTAACAACTTATGACCATAATTTAGTCAACATATATCCTCTTTCTTTTCACAAATTATCATATATTCTGTTAAAAAGACAAACTTATGAAAGGAAGATGTATTGTCTGGTATGGGCTTAAAGGTGTCTCCTACAGTTAGGGTCCGCTCAAGACACCTCATGGGCCGACAAAAAGAAAAAATGACAAACTTATGAAAGGTATTTCTATAACACTAATCTTAATTTCTGTAATTCCATTCCATGTGGTCAAAAGCCAGCCAGACTAGGCTTGCAGTCCAGGCTTTCCTTGCAGTTCTTGATCAGGTGTGCAGTATCTTCTCCAGAACCAATGGTTCTGCCACAGAAAATATATTTCCTCTATGGGCACCTGTTTTGTCTCCGGCAAGAGGAAGAAGATGAAGCAGCTCATGATCACAATCAAGGCTGCAAACAGCAGAAAGATGCCATATTTGAGGTGGCAAAGAGATACAAGGAAACACTGGGCAATGAGGGCTGTGAAGATCATGTTAACGCACACGACCACGCTTTGCCCTGCTGAACGTGTTTCGAGGGGGAAGAGTTCGCTAGGCACCAGCCACCCGAGAGGCCCCCAAGACCTCCCATAAGCGAGAACGAATATGCAGATTATGATCACGAGGAAGGTGCCAATTCCTTTAGGGAGCTCGACGCCTTGGCCAAACTTCAGGGCCAGCGTGATTGCCACCGCCACCTGCACCACATCAAAGTTAAAAGTCTAAGCTGATAGTTGGATTGCACATTAATGGCTCAACAAAGCTGACAGTGAAACAAGAGTTGTACCAAGACACAGATCATTTCAGCACCGGCTTCCAAGAAAAACGCCCTTCTCCCAAACTTGTCAACATAAGCCATTGATATGAACGTTGCCAGCACAAGTGCTCCGCTGGTAATGGCAGATGAATAAAGAGATGCCCCCGAGCCAAACCCCAAGCTTTGAAATATCACGGGGGCATAGAAAAGAATCGAGTTCATGCCAGTGAGCTGCTGGAATGCTGGGATTCCAAGGGCTCCAATTATCAACTGAGGCCGGTTCCTCCTCTTTAGAAGGTTCCTAAACGGATTCTTTATAGCTTGGGCAGCCCGGCTTGCATCAACAAGATCAGAGAACTCTGCATCCACCTTCGAGGTACCTCTAACTCTCTCCAGGACTTCTCTCGCCTCCTCTAATCGACCCTGCTCCACGAGACTGTTTGGGGTCTCGGGGAGGAAGAGTCCACCTACAAACATGAGCGTGGCTGGAACCGTGGCTAAACCAAGCGATAATCTCCACCCCCAAGGATGGATCTTCTCGGTTGCATAGTTTATGAAGTTGGCAACGAATATCCCCAGGCAAGTCGTGAGCTGAAAGAGCTGATTCACTGCTCCCCGGACTTTAGCAGGCGCCATTTCTGACAGATACAATGGCACTGCCTGCAGTACAATGTGTTAGAAGTTAGAAGTTAGAACAAAACAACGCTATTCGAAAGATCCACCATTTCACTTACTTGATTGCCAAATCCAATGCCTACACCAAGAAGACAGCGACCGATGATCAGCATCGCTATGTTCTTTGCAAAAGCGTTAACGATTGCTCCCAAGAAGAAACTGACTCCTCCACAGAGAATGCTGGCTCTCCTGCCTCGATTTCTGGTCACATATGAAGCACCAAAGGTGGAGATAAGGGCAGCAAAGTAAAGGGAGGAAGTGAACAAAGTGAGGATTTGATTGTCATATTTGCAGTAGTCTGTTTCTTTGAGATGTGCTTGCTTCCTTCTGTAGATTTTGGGGAAGAATTCCTTCAAGAAATCATCCATGGAGGTCACACCACCTGAAAATGACACCAAAAAACAATTGGTTTCCATTGCATTGCCTGTCCAAACAGGTCTTTGCCAAATGCTAAATATTATCCCAAGTAGGCAAAATATCAATTTTGAGTAACAAGAAAAACCCGCAACCATTACTCAATAGTGTGCATTGAATAAACCCCACCTTGTGACCTTAGCTGGCAAAAGAACAAGGAAGTAAACCAAACTAGGTTACGGGTTACCCATAACTAACCAGCTCAAACTAAGAAGGCTAATAGGTCTCAATCTATATTCTAGTGAAAATTATTAAAAGTAAACTAATTTTTAGGTAAAAATTTGAGTATATTTAGATTTTTTTTTAAAAAAAAAGTTGTGAATTTTATGTGAAATTATCACTATACACCACCAAAAGAGGATGAATTATTATCCTCCCTACTAAAATATGTAAATTATAGAGATGATGATATCTAGACTATAGTGATTTCACCACTTTAATTTCGGAATAAAATTTGTACCTATTTTAGTCCAAATTTTTGTTAAAAAGTAAAATATAAATTTGATACTCAAGATATTATTGAAGAAAATTAGAAGTAAAAATAAAAATTGAAGTGGTTATAATGTTATATCACCAGAGGGACCATTTCCACAATTCCACAATTTACCCTCCACCATTATTTTCTCATTCCTCTGTTCTATCATTCGGAATCGCCGACACTCATAAGGTATAGTATATAGTATAATATACAGGGAAAAACAAGACAATGACGACGACATCAGCATTGAACAAAATAGTTGCCGGAACACAAACAAAAAACGACCTTGACAAACGTTGTCAAAACCAAAATCTCTCAGATCAAAACTCAAAAGTAGAAAGTGAAAGACTGACCAGAAACACCGAGATCATAACCGAACAGAGATCCTCCCATGGCTGCAACGATACACGCAAAGATGAAATAGGAAGTGATCCTGTACTCGTACAGGTGGGCCCTCCCTCCTCCGGAGTCCACAAAAGCCCCGCCCGCCATTGCTCCTTCTTCTCTGTGCTCCGATTTTCAGTGAAAAATTATGAGTGGACCTACACTTGAGACTTTGAGAGGTAGCTGCTGTGTATCTATATATATATATATATACAATTTCTTGGATAAAGATAAGAGTTACAACAGTTAGCCAGTTAGGACGTGTGAGTGTATCGATATATGATTGGTCAACGGTAGGATTATATAATATGGAGTATCATTTAGTATCATTTATCATTTATTATTCTAGTAATATTATGGGTGTATTCGATATATGGTTGTCCAAAAACACGCAGTTTGTGCGTGTGCAATAAGGGTTGATACTGCTAATTAGGTGTAAGCAATATAAATAACACAAGACCAAGTAAAGCAAGTAAGTCTTTATTGATCAAGGTAGAGGCCCTAAGTACAATCTACTTGGTTGCTCTGAGTACCGACTGAGTGCGGTCGGGATTCTCTAGTAACAACCTATCGATCGTCCAAAAGTCCCCTACACTGTAGCTACTGTGGGTATTTATAGCCGCGACGCCGGAGACAAGGTTCCAGCCGTTCGGCATGCTCTCCACGTAGCCTCCACGTGTCCTCCTCCCGGGTGCCCTGTCTGTCGTCGTAAAGAACCGCCACGTGTCTTTAGTCAGCTCTCTCGCCGAAGGACTACCGCTCGGGGTTGACACCATCGCTCGGGCAACTCCCGGTCGGTTCCCGACCGGGTTCTTCTCAAGGAGCCCGACCTGTTACCTGCAAAGACAGAGAGACAAGGACAAAAGGCTCCTCGGTCGTGGTGAAGCTATGTCGGTCGGGATATTCCCTACCAAGAGCCCCCCAACCCGGGCCTTTTTGATCGTCCGGGAAAAAACGGGACGGGATGTAGAAGTCCAACCGTCGGCTCCTAAACCGACCGGCCAGCTGTCATTCCCTTCCTCGCCACGTGTCGGCCACTGCCGGCCTCTGCGACTGCAACCGGCGCCTCGGAGTCAGCGCGGGTCGTGTCACGCAAGTGGATGAGTTTCCCGCCTAAATGCCCTCCTATAAATAGGCCCTTGATGCCCTCATTTGAACTTTCCTCACTCTTTCGCATCAGTCGGTACCCTCAGAGAGTCCCGAGCAGAGCAGCTTAGCAAGGCAGCCGAACAAGCAAACTTCAACTTTCAAGCTTCAAACTTCAATCTTCCTCCAATCGGTAAGCTCTTAACCCTCCTCTTTAGTTTAGGCTCTCATTTATAGGTAGAACTGTTAGGTCAACTAACTGTCCCGGACGTCTCAAGTCCCTACTAACTCCGACCGACCTTTAGGTAGATCGATATGACGGACTCAGACAGTCAAAACGCCTCGATTGCTGATTACGACGAGGGGGTCGAGCACATCAGCGACGAGGAGGTGGACATTATGTCCTACACCCCGGACGCCAGTCCCCGAGCGACGCCAGCCCCCGAGCAAGCCGCCGAGCGAGACAATGCATCAAGCTCCTCTGGATCGTCAAGCTCGAGTTCGAGCGGATCGGGGAGCTCCAGCGAAGAAGATGAAGAGAGGACCACGTCAAGCGGGCGGGGTTCTCCAACCGAGGGCGTTAGGGAAACGCCTACCCGGGTGGTTGGGGACCACCCGGAGGCTGCTCCTCGAGGGGGTGATCGAGAAAATACCCCCGAGCAGACCGAAGGAGACCCGGCCGGGCCGGCCACACCAGCCGTCGAGCTCGAGTTCTTGAACAGCGAGAGCGTCGAGCAAGAAATGAGCCTGCTGTCCAAAGGCGAGGCGGCTCGGATTGCTGAAATACTCCGGGGTCGGGCAGAATTCGACACGA